TACTATGACTTTTTTACTTTTTTCGACATGCTATACTATGACTTTTTGATGCCATTGATGACGATTCTAAGTAATGGCCTACCATACATATTTTAATGGCGTACTATGCTAAACTTGTTATGGTACTCTGCACTACAATATTTTTAGGAAAACTATACTTCCACTTTTCAAATAATATTTGAATAGCATACTACACTACTATACTATGACATGTTTTATGGCACATTATATTATAAGTGATTTTTAATGGTATTATAATGGCATACTATACGATGACATTTTTCCATCACATAGTATGCCAGGGTTCTCAAACGGCACAGTTTGACACAGAAGCCGAGTAGTGCATTAAATATAAGCTATTGAAAGTGAAGTATTGAAATTTAAATGTAAACTTCATTTTATGTCACTGTCAGGGTACAAAATGAGCCAGGGAGCCCTCGGGCCTCACTTTATGAAACTATGCTAAAAACTATTACTGCAGCGACATCCGACTTAATTATTGAGCTTGAAAAACCCAACAAATCTCACACATTGAATCCATTTAGTCGCCGTTCTGGAGCTTTTGATCATATCCCATGATAGATTAGTATCCATTTTCTGTGAGCCCTTTAAGGACTTCTCATCTGTATTGGCTTAAAATGTTATACTTTTATGTTTTGTAAAATAACAAATTAGACATTAAGTAAAAGATTAAAAAAAAGACAACTTTGTTAAAAGCACACACATTTAAGTTTAATTAATGAAAAAGAGTGGAGGTTTGGTAAACATTTTGTCGGTGGCACTACATACATTCAGCATTATTGGGAGTTTTTCAGTTAAATCCCACCATCAATCCTGTAACAAAGTAAATAGACTGAACCCAACGAGGGATATTTCTTAAGCTTTTGCACCAGTTCAATACAACAGAGACATTGTGTTGTTTACAATAACATATTTATGTATATAGTTCATAGGATGGTAAATCTGTGTTTCTGGTCATGTGACCAGATAACTGAATTACATCTCAATATAGCACAAGCACCACTAAGATGTCTACCGGGAAGTTGAACGCACCAGTCTAGTACAGATCAGTGCAGAGGAAGGAAAGGAGACATGAAAAGAAAGCCACATTCAACTAAATATGCACCTTTACGAGGCGCACACAGCCTAAGAGTTACAGTGACTGTTCATCAGTACCCTTAATGTTATTGTACACTACTGGGATCACATCAACAGCATGTAAAACAAAGGTAACATGGGTAGCAATTTGAATAGGAGCTCTGTGTCCATTGCACCAAGCTGATATCTGGCTCTGCAGCCTGTCACACAATAAAGAGACTTAAGATTTAGATCAGCAAAATGAATAAACACAATCCCAATCTGCAGGGAGAGCAATGCCTGAAGCCATCCTGATGGACTGTCACTTATTGAACAGTATGTGATCTCTATATCTTACATTGGAAACTAATTAACAGCTAAAAGTTACCACTTCATGAATAAGCATAGGTCATATGTATCTATACACATTTATACATTCAGGTATGACTGTTGTGTTCACTGCAATTGGCACCATTTCTTCTTTTTTTTTCTTCTGTGTGTGGATAGCCACTCAGAACTGACAGACATTGAAATGTCCAGATCTTCCTCCTTTATGATCTGTCAGTAATGGGGCATGTAATGCTTCACACAGTTGCCTCTTCAGACAAATCTAGGATGATACCTTAAACATGATCATTGTCCTCAGAAGGACATTTCATCCTCTTTCTTCTGGCTTGACAGCAGCTTATGATAAGTTGAGCTTGACTACTTTAACTCTGTTGAACTAAAAAAAAAAAACACCTATGGCAAACATCTCTCAAAATAAAATGATAGAAATACAACCCAACACTTCAACAAAATGAACATGAAAACAATCAGAAGCCTTGAAGTGTGGTATGGTAATTACAAGGTCAATTTGAGGGGAACCTTTCTTAACCCCGGCTCTGTCCTCTCCGGCTCCTCGTAGCAAATGAGGAATGTCTGAGCCAGAGAGCAGGACAACACTGTCATAACTCGTTAGCAAGTGATGTTACAAATACCTTACAGATTTTTATGCTATTTTTATTCATTATTTTACCTTTTTTGTTCTTTTTTGAAATTTTAGAAAATATTTGAAAGTCAGCAACATGTACGCCTTTCACTTTCTACAGGAAAATGCCTTTAGATAAAATAAATAAAATCAAGCACAGACTCTCATGAATTATATGTAATATTCACATGGAAGACAACATATACAATATTAAACATATTTATAGACCAATACTGCCTCCTATACAACAAGGCCAACCATCTGCTGTATTTTTTGGCCAATTAATGTAATTAATTACCTTGTTGAAGCAAGTGAGATCAACCAATAAAAACAGCTAGGGAACCAACTGAATACCTTACCACCAGTCCCAAAGCTTCCAGAAACAGACTTACTCTTTAACATAGAAAAATACTATACCAAAATGAAATACAAATATATATATTAGAATCTGTTAGGCATTTCTATATAAAGAGTTGTTGGGGGGGCGGCTAAAGGAGTTAGGTTACATCATGAGACAAAATACAACAAAAAATAAAAGCAAATCAATATGAGAAATTAGACGGAACAAAATAAAAATCAGAAGATGAGTCTGCAACCTTTTTTTTGATAAGATGTATAATGATATTAAGAAGCTCTACATATTTGTTGGCAAACTCTTCTCCACACATGCAACAGTTTGCACAAGTTTAATACTGCAGGCATCAAGACGAGCAGGGCTAAACAGCCTCCTGCTCAAAGGGGGTGGGATTATGCAAATCACCCTAACCCTGAGGCAATCCATGCTGGGGGGAATGATAACCACTGGGCACTGCCAGCACCAGGTTTGGTTTGTTATACGAACAGAATACATAGTTGAACCACACAAGCCCTCTCCCTCTTACAAGTGTTGAGGCTGTGTGTATCCCATGCGTGTGGTCGTGTACTTTAGAGAGGTCTACGACTGTCATTTTCAGTGCTGCTAGTCAGTGCAGTCTCTATTCTTATGGAGTTTCTATGTTACGGAACCTCACCGCAAACAACTGTGACACCAGACCAACTGGCCTCAAAGTCACGACATCCGCACTGGATTATGTGCCACTCTAATCCTCACTTTTCTTTGTTCACTTCTACATGTGCATGTGTGGATGGATGAGTGTATCCCGGCAGAGAAAGTACTACACCAAACCAACAACAACTTTAACTCAACCCAAACCATATCCAGCCCTCTCCAGGTAACCCAGCCAAGCTCAACTCAAGATAGCTTTGCCAAGTCCAACGGTCCAGCTCTCTTGTCATCCCTCTGTTTCTCTCTTTTTGTCTTTCTCTTCCTCTCTTTTGCCACTCTTAGCCAGGCTGGACGCCCAATGTCCTCACTGCCTCCATGAAGCAAAGATGGTGGATGGTGGCTATAGGCTGTCAGATGCCTCACAGATGGATGGGGAATTCACACTGGGTAATTTGGGTTGGAGGGATGCCTCACTCTGAATGCAAAACCTTTGAAATCTCTGGACCCCCTTGGAACAATGTTGCAGATACAATGGTTCTGTTGCTGTTGTTGTCACTTCTACATTGTTGCTCATGATGTTGGTTTCTCTGTGTTACTGTAGGTCACACACCCTTGGAAGGGGAGGAAATGTCCTATTTTACAAACATTGTTGTCCATAATATATAGATAGAGGTTTTATATATATTCTTTATACTCTCTCTTTTTCTTTCTTTCCCTCCCTCACTTTACTCCAGTCCTCTTTCTTTCTTCTTTTCTCTCTATCTTCTGCTCGGCGGCAGCGGCAGGAAATGTGAGTGAATGGTGCTACATGCAGGCCATACAGCCGCACTTGATGGTCTTTTCCACTTCCTCGCTGAAGGAGGTTCCATCGCTGCATTCAAAGGTGTATTTCCGGCGTTTCATTCGCTGGCTGGCGCAGCAGGCCCCCGTATCGCAAGCTCCAGTGCACTCCACCCAAGAAACCATGCGCGTCGTCTGGCAGATGGCGTAGCCTCTCTGTACCTGGTAGACGTCTCGCACAGGTTCCCCTCGGCATTCAGACTCTGGAAAACATGACAAAGACCCGAAGATTAACTTAACCAGGGTACATAGTCAGGGTATAGGCAGGAATCCTGAAGTTATATTAGACACCTTTTTTAGACCGCATCGAACTGCTAACAAAATTCAGATAGACGGGGTGGGAACAAAGCACAAAATAAGAGATTTTTAAGAAGAATAAAATCACTAATACACAAGAGTTGGAAAAAAATCTTGTTCCCTATACGAACATTATTATGCCAACAAACATATTTGTTATTAAAGAAGTCATGAAAATGTCATAAAAAAATGTCATGTAGAAAAATCATAACAAATGTTGAAAGTATAGTG